CCAGCTGTGCTCAGGCAAGCTGAGGCAAGGGGGTGAGGTGCACCCTACATTCTTCCCTTTTCTCGAGGGAGGCTCAGCTCCAAGGCCTCTGAAGAAGGGAAAGTTAAAAAGAGAATTTACAACCCTGGGAAAACCCTTTCTTCTTTGTAAACTCCCCCTTAGAAATGCTCCATTTTGAGCCCAAGTCAAATAAAGAATTTGCCTCAAGTACCTTAAATCTTGATGCTCAGGAGAGCCAGGTGTCCCAGCCCTCCTACTGCACGATGTGACTCATTAGGACACTTTCTTCTGTCTGGATCAGGAAAGACTGTCCCTTGAGAAACAGTTGTTTGGGGACTAGAAGAATGTTTTTACTCCCCACCCCCTCCAAAGGCCCTTATATCTCCTCACTGTCTGCAATGTGAGAAGAAACTTCCATGCCCCAACCCCGATAGAAAGGAGAAACTGGGCAGGGATAGGAAGGACCTGGGTATGGGACAGAGTCCCCTGGGTGATGGATCACTCATCTGGGAAGGAAGCTTTAGAACCTAACATGCCAATTCTTGGGGACAGGCCAGGGACAGACATTCAATGCATGGGACCCAGAAAAAAAAAGTTCCATTCTTTCCTACCAAGTGCTCTCCACCCTTTAGCTTGCAAAGAATGTGCTTTTTTAGTATCCTTTTTTTTTTTTTTTTTTTTTGCCACACAGCTTGAAACTTACCTGGAATTTGAGGTTTCCGCACAGGACCCGAGGTCGTGTTTGCCCCATTTTCTTGACTCCCACTTGAGTGGCCTAAGGGGAAAAAAACAATATCTCTCAATCAAAGTTTGGAATGCATAATGACCAGTGCCTTACAGAGCAGCACGCAGGGCCAACCTCTCTACCCTCTGCATCACTGAGAAGCTATTTATAGATTCAAGCCGCAGACATTTATAAAGTGTTACACGAAAGAGATCTCCCCAGAAAAGTTGGTTTGATTAAGGCCAGTGTCTGGAAATGTCATTGTTCATCAAGAACATGGGAATTCTCACCAGCGGTACTGTGCTGTGTTTAAGACCTTGGGCTCCAGAGCCAGGCAGTCCCCCCTCTCCCTCTTGCTAGTGACGTCTGCTGAGTCAAGCTACCCTCTCCAGGTCTCAGTTTTCTCATTCAGAAAATGGGGACAACAATAAAATCCACTTCACCATAATTTTACAGAAGTTTAAAGAAGTGCACAAGAAATGGGAATTGTGTGTAGTTGCTCTGTACTATTTCTGATTTAAGACCTTGCTACTCAAAGTGTGGTCCCTGGATCAGCAGCATCAGCATCACAGGGGAGCCTGCTAGGAATACAGAATCTCAGGCTTCACCCCAAACCTACTGAGTCAGAATCTTCATTTTAACAAGATCCCTAGAGGATTCAAATGCTCTGGAAAGTCCAAAGCAAATCTAACAATCTCATCCGTGTCTTCACAGACACAAAAATAAACATTAAAAAATAAGGGCTTAGGGGGCAATGGCCTTTCTGTCCAGGGAAAATCATCCTATTGGAGTCCCTGCTAATATGTTATTGAAACATGCCTTGTTTTCAGAAGAATGAATATTTTCTACCACTACAAAACAAAATAAGGAAACAAGCAAAGCATCTCAAACTGGAAGGAGACGTAGCAAGACACAGAATCCACAAATCTGATCGTTTGAACACTGCATCAAAAACTAATGATGTACTATATGTTGGCTAACTGAACATAATAAAATAAAGAATCCATAACTCCGTATGGGAGGCTCATCAAAATGAGGGAGGCATTGTGTTTTAGTTTTTTATTTTATTTTTTATTGTTATGTTAATCACCATACATTACATCATTAGTTTTAGATGTAGTGTTCCATGATTCATTGTTTGTGCATTTAACACCCAGTGCTCCATGCAGAACGTGTCCTCTTTAATACCCATCACCAGGCTAACCCATCCTCCCAGCCCCCTCCCCTCTAGAACCCTCAGTCTGTTTTTCAGAGTCCATCGTCTCTCATGGTTCGTCTCCCCAGGCATCGTGTTTTAAAAGAAACTTCTAAGACATCTCATGAAGAGACTCACCTAAGTTAAAGCTTCATCTTTTGCTTGTGTTTTTTATGCTTCCTCCTCTGTTTCAAAACAAAATTTGAAAATATCCCACAAAAATGAACTTGTTCCCTCCTATCCATGGGGAACCCACTGTAAAATTCTGAAGTCTACCAAGGGAAGAAAAAGCAAATCAGGGCAGTCTGTCTGGCTAAGCAATGGATGAAGATGGCCAGGGTTGAATTAAAGGAAGATGTCTGTGGAGAGTCAAACTTTAGACAGTGGACAGTGCAATTTTGATGATGATGGTTATTTTGGATAGGCTGACTCCTGTTTATGCAATCTGATGTTTTCATTAAATTTGAAATGGAACAAAACAAATTCTTACCAGACCTCGGGCCATTCAACACCTCTTATGCCACTTTGACAGTGGCCTTGTACTTTGCAAATCTTGGGAGTCCAAGGTGCTTTTCCTAGCTGCCCCCTGGGGTCCTTGGTCATTGGCACGTCTTCACCTGCATGGGTCATGAGATGCTGGCCATCTACACTGGAGATCTTCGGGTTTGAAAGCCATCTAAGCAGTAGAGGTACTCTCCCTGGTCTTTCTCTGACTCATAGCAGCCTTTGATATTTGAAAAGGAGGCCACTAATGGATCATAATCTCTTTATTTTGGTTTTCAAAAAAAGCGCTCCCAGCAAGGAAAGATCTGGGTGTGTGTACAACAAGATGAAACCTCCCACTTGAACAATACACACCTGCGCAGGAGTCAAACAAAAGAGACAGCTCCCGCCCACCTGATTCTCACTTCAAGCAAAAGCCAGAGAAGATGGATGAGATACAGCAGGCCTCACCTTGCACTCCAGAGGTCTGCAAATGAAGCCAGGGTAGAGCTGGCTGGGAAAGCAAGCTTTGCAAAGACGGACACTTGACACTGTAATTTGGAGATGAGATCCAACCTGAGACGTGTGCACAGAGATAATTCAACTGGCCTTGACTGTGAGAAAAACAGTCTAGGACAGAGCTTCTCAAACTTCAGTGCACATACAAAACAACCAGTGTGGGGGGAGGTCTAGTTAAAATGCAGACCTTGATTCAGTAGGTCTGGGATGGCTGGGGATTCTGCATTTCCAGCCAGCTCCTAGGAGATGTCCCAGTGGCTGGTCCAAGAACCACACTTGGAGTAGCTAGGGTCTCTTGATTTTAGAGAGCATGGTTGAAATAATAACTCCCTATCATTTCCCAAAGTTCTTCATTTTCCTGAGAGCTCCTGTTCTTCACAAAACTCTGGGAGGTAACAGAGGCAGGTGTCCTGATCACCTTTTTTACTATAAAGGAAACTGAGTTTGGGAAAGGCTAAATGCCCCAACCAAGGAACCTAAAGAGCTTGGGACTTCTGTCTTTACTTTAGAAGCATTTCTAATGAACCCCTCTATCCTGTGCTCTTGCATGAAAGCTTATTACTGAGCCACCATGTAAATATCTGTCTTCATATTTGCTTTAAGTGTGTGAATCTTTAGGCCTGGAGGCAACTGCAGCCCTGACTTGGGCATGGGGGGAAGACCATGGTCCAGATGGATTCCCTGGTTTTCATGGGGTCACCTGGACTGAGGATATCAGGGCCACTGGTATCAGCAGGACTTTCAGTGGTTCCAGTGTTACTGGTCACAAGTAAACCTGCCTCATGTCAGACTTTGGTGCCTGCAGTAATGTTTCCAGGGGTGTGATCTGAGTCACAGCAAACATGTATCCATTTAATAATACGTGCCTGGCAGTAATTATGGTCATTATGGAGTGTTTTCTTCAGAACATACTTATAGGGGCGCCTAGGTGGCTCAGTCGTTAAGCGTCTGCCTTCGGCTCAGGTCATGATCCCAGGGTCCTGGGATCGAGTCCCACATCAGGCTCCCTGCTCTGTGGGAAGCCTGCTTCTCCCTCTCCCATTCCCCCTGCTTGTATTCCCTCTCTCGCTGTGTCTCTCTCTGTCAAATAAATAAATAAAATCTTTAAAAAAAAAAAAAAAAGAACATACTTATAGAGGCAATATGAGACCTCGGGTCTTGAAACCTGGCTCCACCATTCAACTTACAGTCATGTCAACCCAGCCAAGGTACTTGCCCTTTCAGAGTCTTAGTGTCCTTGTCTGGAATACAGGGATGCTAACCATACTTTCATAGGTCACAGGGTTTGTAGGATGATTACATAAAGTAATACTAGATGAACCATATGGAATCGTGGATATTCAACTGTTGACCTACAAAAATAGCAGCTTCATCTGGTCTACCCTACTACATGGAAAGTGTTTAGTACAACACCAGCAGCACACAGTAAATTCTCAGTAAATGCTAGCTACAGTGCCATGTGCTTTACACCTTTACACCTGTTTCATCATTTAGTCTTTAAAACAATGCCCTGCAACAATTATTATTATCCCAATTTTAATCGTTAGGAAACTGAGTCTCAAATCCCTTAAGCAACATCCTCAGTTAGTATATGGAGGAGCTGGGATCAAGCCCAGGCCATTCTTACTCCAAGACCCATGTTCTTAATCAGGCTGGTGTAGTACAATGCTAAATTGAGACCCTGCCTGAATTCTTCCTGATCCTTTCACATGGAAGACTTCTCTCTCCAACACGGTAGTTCTCAAAGTGCGGTCCCCGTCTCTGCAGCATCAGCATCACCAGGGAACTTACTAGAAATAAATATGCTCAAGCTCCACCTCATACCTACCGCATCAGAAACCTTAAGAATGGGGCCCACCAGTGTGATTTAATAAGCACTCTCCAAGATTGTGATGCATGCTAAGAAAGTCTGAGAACCACTCTTCTTGAGACACTGACTCATGCTTTATTAATCATTGGCAGGCTCAGTGATGATAACAGTAAATGACTACAGTAGCTCAAACTCACCAGCTGATTCTGATCCATGAGTGATATGGGATGTTCCACTGGGGTGAACTGATGAGTCTTGGTCTTCTGTAAAGAGTAATCAGAAAGGTTCATTACTGGTGTTCCACTGCAATCTGCATTTCCTCACTTTTGCAATTTCAGACATCCTATCACCAAGTTTAGTGTGTTAAAGGTCATCAAAAAACCAATGGCAAGGAACCTTGAATGGCTCCATGGTACTAATTACTGTTCATTGCTGGATCCACTGATGAGTAGGTTAGGGCTTTAATCACAATAAAGGAAACTGGGACAGCACAGACCATCCAGAATGACCACAGGAAGTGTGGTTTTGGTAGAAATCTAAGAACATAACACTCTCACAAAAATATCATGATGTCTTCGCAGATCTGAGGTTGGAACTTGATACTGCGACTTTGAAATAAAGACTCCATGTTTTGAATTACACAAATGGGATTGCTGGGAGTGTGTGTACTCTCTGACTCAGAGCATGAGCCACTTAAAGAGATTTCTCTGAGGCAGGAAATAGAAAATGGTTTTGGTGTGCAGTAAAGGATCTTGGTGTTGAATTATGTAAAAATTCAAAGGGAAAAGTCAAATGCTTATTTAGAGAAAAAGAGCCTAAAGATAAGTGAAAAAGGAATAAGAAGATGCGTGTTAACATGTAAAAAATGTGGACCTGGTTATTAGAATATATTTTAAAAAATAACGTTTTTCAAAATTCAAATCTGTATTTTCAACACCAAGAGTTAATATAATCCCATCTTCCCAAATACCTATCACCAAAAGGCTTTAGATTGAGACAAGCTCATGAACTGCTCAAATCTGGGTCTGCAGGTCAAATCTCAGATTCAGCCTATGGAAACCCCTGCTCTTCTCCCTCTTCCCCACACACTTTCCAATGTGCTGGAATCTTAAAAAAACAAAACGAAACAAAACAACAAGACAACAACAAGACAAACAACAATAACAACAGAAAGGGATAATGGTTTCATAAAATGGCTACAGTCACCCATTATGAAGACCTGTAAGGAAAATATAGTAATCTGATCATCACCATTTCCTTGATTAGAGAAGGCGGAGGTAGACGTCCTGTCATCTCTCATGTAATTGTACAGGGGAGATAGATTGCTTTGTTCCTTAGTTAGAATACTCGAAAACAGCATTTGCTGAAATGCCAGCACCGGTACCCCCAAGACCACCACCACCACCAGCACTGCAACCACCACCATAATGGTGAATGTTTTAGTTCTTAACATGAAGCATCAAGACAGAGAAAAACGTATGGGAAGAAATCAGCTTTATCTGAGTGGCTTGGAAGAAAACCAAGGATGACAGTTGAATCACTTACTAACCATTTAATCCATGAAGAAGCACAGAAAATCTGTTTGATCATGGAATTATAGAAGGAATCAGCAACTGTGAGTATCATTTTTGTAGAAAGCATTTTATTTACTAACAAATAGGCTATGTAACCCTTCCACGATACTATTACTTTTAAAATTGCCATTTAAAATTTAAATTCATTTGATTGTACCACAGTCCTTATTCTGCCAAGAGAAAAGAGGCAGTGCTCTAAGATTAATTTCTTTGGAAGAAAATGGACAAGGCTACTCGGGATGTTTAATAACAGGGCAGAACCATGATGAATAATGAATCAAAGGGTGTGAGGAGTTTTGTCTTGCCAATATCACCAAAGTTAGTATTTTTAAAAACTGCTTTTCTGGAAGCTCTGGGTGAGCAGCCCAGAGGAAAGAATCCAAGCACTTGGCATTCTGAGTCTTCTGTCCCCATATCAATTAGAGCATCAGAGATGTCATCTGTTTTATATACCGGGTTCTCATAAGACTTATTCTTTTTGCAGGGGAGGAGAGGCAGACCTTGCTACAAATCCATATATATTTAAAATCACAAATCTTTAATGTAATTCAATGGTTGAGTGGCAAGAAACACTTGAATCACTGGCACGGGGAGGAGAGATTCCAATTCTCATTTCTTATCCAGAGTAGGTATTTCCAGTTCATTTTTCTTCAATGTAAGTTTCTTAATGCAAATGAAAGAACAAAGAAAGGGAGAAGTAGGGAAGACTGCTTATTTGAGAAAAGAAGTCTCGCTCTCCTTTTAGGTCCGTGTCCAACTTAATTGAATAAGTCATCTTTAGTCATCTCTTTGCCATTGCAATAGGAAAAGTCATGCCTATTCATTATTAGTAGATTAAATCATAAAGTTTGAGGTGTGAATCATAAGTAGGTTTAGCCACGAGCCCTTCACCGGAAGTAAAATTCATCAATCCATCACCAGTAAAGAAAATAATTTCGGAACAAAGATATCAGCATATGGAAATGAGTCACATGTTGGGTAAAACCTTATGAAACAGGTAGCATATCTGAGTTGAATCAAATGAAATTGCTAATATTTGACTACTTTGACCTACAAAAGCATTGATTTCATATGGCTCAAATTAATATACCACAAGATTAGGAACAAAGAAAGAAATTCTACCCTAACAACAAGGTCACAAAAATAAACGGAGACTAAACTGGCAAATAAAAGCACTATTTATCTAAAATAAATCTAATTTTATTTGCACTAGAATGATGACCTGGGATAAAGGCCATTCCCATATCACAAATCGGTCTAATCACAGCCCACACAGAAAATGTCCCCCTATAGTATGAAATTACGTGTTGTTTCTCTCTGTAGAGAAATCCAAGCAGATAACAAATGGCCAAGTTACCTGAAAAGAAATGAATAACGTTAGAGTTGGAATCTCCAGCAATATTGACTTCAGTAACTCCAGGGGACCCCGTGTTAGCAGGGGTCACCGGGATGAGGGTCCTGTATTCCCCCGTGGCTGGTGAGTGAGAAGTAGAACCTTCCACTGAAGTAGCTGAGTCTTTAGGAAGATGTCCACCTCTTTTTCCGCCTCTGCCATCAGTCCTATCTGTGTGGAGGTGGGATCAGTGGTAAGCCCACAGTTGTGAGGCCACCACCCATCGGGTGCTTGTCTTCAGAACGTGCCAGTGCTGCAAAAGCTTTCCACTTGTTATTCATGAGTTTGGAGCAAAAGACAGTGCAGTTCATTCCTACTATTACTGAACCAAAGTGGTATTTTGCAATCTGCACCACCTGGACATGATTCACTGGAAAAGATTCTGGTGATCCCAATACCCAAGAAAGGGATTTGTTGCAACATCTGCCTGGATTGTTAAAGTTAGATTTATGCCGCTACGACTGTGACCTTGAAGTCAACTCAGGTACTAGATAATCTTGAGTGCTTACTCAACTGGACCCGCCTTTGATGAAGTGGAGAAAACACATCATTGAACTGAAAAGTAAAATTATGTTGCCTGCAAATGGAACCGTAAATGCCAGGTTTCAAAGCCCTCACGGGCTTTCATTACTTTTTCCTTTGCCATAGGGGCACTGCTTCTTAGTCACCAGCACTATGGATATATGTCCAGAGGATGAATGGCAAAATAATATGTTGATGAAAGGAAAACAGAGAGTGATAGAATTCAGACCTTTACACCAATTATAAATCATATGTAAGCGATTTTAAAACCACGCGACTAACTTTAGAGTTTAAGAAAGCTGACCTTTAAGATTAAGAAATACAGCTTGCACTTAATGTACAATAGCTTCTAAGAGGCCTACAAAGCAGAAAAATCCAAGAACCACCACCAGCCGCACCTTCTGATCAGAAATAACAGCATAATAGCCGCCAAGTGATGTACCTCCACCAAAGACACGGTATAAACATCCATGATTTATGGATCTTTATCAAGAGCTGAAGCCAACTGGGCTTTATAATCCTTACTGCTAGATGTTGGAGTAGAAGTCATTGGATGGTCTTTATCTTCTTCCAAGCCTCCATGTGATGTAGAGAAGCTCTGAGTATGACTCTGCTCTGTTTCAATGAGGGAGGAATCCAGCGTTACTTTGGAGCCATGAAACAAATCCTCTGTTACCTGCTGACAGGAAGGATCTAGCTATGGTAGTGTCAGACAGGTAGGTGCCTAGGAAGACCGAAGTTTGGGTATACCATTCTCCTCTGATTGATAGAAATGTACAACAGAATTCTGTTTTGTCCCTAATTGGCCCTAAGAACCTCTTTTTCAGTACAATCAACAAAGGTAAAGTGCCAAGGTGAAGCCTGAACCAAAACTTTTGTCCACCCTGGATCATCCTGGCCCAATTGTAGCACCGCTTCTAGTCACTTAGGAAACCGGGGAACGTAGAGACAGGGAAAAAGGAATGGTTGAATTCTGGTGCTCCTATACACAATCAAGAGCACCCAGCTGTGGGTCGAGAAGTGGGACTGTAGGGAAATGAATACCAGGATAGCAGGTAGCACAATTCTCATGACAAAAGAGGAAGAAGCTCTAGAATCTAGAACAACTTGCTCAAATAACTCAGATCAAACTTGCACAAAGAAATCTTAAGTCCCTTCTAAAGAATATTAAATTAAAGTTACCATTTTACTCTATTATTAGGTTTTTGATCTTGTCTGTGAATGAGGATTCTCATCACTGCACCGAAACGTCAGGAAACGCTTGCCTGGGCAAACACAGGGCCCTCACTGACATATACCAATTTGAGGTTGAACCACTGCCCATATCTGAAATCACTTTGACTGTTTTGGTTTGATTTCTTTTGTGTTCTTCTAAGAAAGGTACTGACCTCTGAGTTACAGGTGCAAGCCTTCCATAAAGCACATCAGTAAGCCATGTCCACCACCAAGTACACATGACAACCAGGAGAAAGACATTCACCAAATCCCAATCCCAGTGTCAGAATAAAAGTCAGCAGGGACATTAAGTGGAAACACAAGACCCTCCCTTGGAGGGGACCATCTTAGGCTTCCCTCCATCTCCTTTGATGTGTAACACTGTACTACATACATTCTTGGTGATCAAAACATGCTTGCTTATTTTTCCTCTGCCTAGAAGGGCTCACATGAAGGACTCTGCCCAGTTTGTGTAGCAAGCAGTGAAATGAAGCCCTCTTAATTCTGGATTTCTTTCATATTCTGTCAAGAAATTGCAGATGACTTCAGTCTGATCTCTAGGATAGCCCTGTCCATACAGTGGCAATTTAGCATTGATTCTTTCAGATGTTTAGTAATAGGAAGAGATATTAGCAAATGTTCCTCTTTTGTTCCCGGGCCTCGGCACCTTTGTTAATGGTCAACAGTATGTCTTGCCCCTCTTTTGTGGGCTGCTGTAATTTCCCCATTCTCTATAATTATCTGGACCCAAAATGTCTTTTCACAACCATGAAAGCAACCCTACTCCTCTCCTGCCTTGATTGGAGGAAAGATGGGAACCAAAAGGAGATGGTTAAAACATAGAGAAACTACTGTCTTAGCCGTGGTCTTGGGTTTCACTCACATAACTATTTTGTGAAGGAAAATCAGGTTGGGCAGAATCCCACAACCCTTTTAGTTTCCTTAACATAAAGTCATTGCATCTGGAAATCACCAAGAATGAAGGCAAAATCAGATTTAAAGAACCCACCAAGAAAATATAGGCAATGAAGACCCTTTCATACTCTGGGCTGAGCTGAGCCACGTAGCCCTAACTGCACCATTCTACCACCAAGCTTTGCATCCGGGCCAGGGTGAGCAAGAGCTAAAGCGGGACTACAGGCCAGCAGAGGGGCTGTTATATCCTTACGAGTTGTCACTGAAAAAGGTCCTGTCCTGTCCAAGTCTTCCACCAAATGTGTGTTTGGATCTGCAGAAGGCTGACGTGTTGTATTATGGCTGGAGTCCATATCTGAAGGAATCAAATTGGTGTTAATGCTTGATTTACTAAGCTACTTCCTGAGGGTGGTTTATGGTCTCTAGACAAACTATTTTCATATGCAAACCTGTACTAGAGGGAAAAAATGTACATACTGATTCATGTCTCCAGAACTGGAACAAATTATGACTTCTTCAAAAAGTATCACAAGGAGTAACTGGCTTTCATTTAAAGGCTAAGTGTATGAAAGGTGCAATTTTTGTTTATTTTTGCTGAGTCTGCAAGGACACTAAATAAGCACATGACATGCCTCTCAAGCCTTGCAAAAAGACAGAAACATAGCCCGCGTGTGACTTGTCCCATGCCATACAGCTTGCTTCCCTTATAGACACGTGTGTTCTGGATCATGGAGAAAAGACAAAATGTACTGGTTTGGACACCATTTTTTCTCATCTCCCTCACCTGGCAAAAGATTTTTTTTTTTTTTACAACCCTCTTCTCTCTTTTGGTCCTTTCTGCTTCCCAAAGTGAATGTGCATATAACACATAAAATTATCATCCAATACTACCTACATGGAAGTCACGGGAAGTATTTGGGGGCAAGAAATAAGCGGTAGAGGTCAGTGAGTCATTCTCCACATAAACATAAGTATGAGGTGTCTCTGGAATTTAACATGTCCAATGCTGAGTGATACAGAAGTGTCACTGAAACATTTAAGCGTGCTGTTTCTAGTAAATATCACGAATCCGTGCTGCTGGAATAACAAGTCCTGAGGGAAACAGTGACCAAACAATCCAAGAGCCCCATTGCTGTTGCTGGCTCTCTAGCTCAAAGTTCACCCACACTGCTGCATCCAGATAGATTTAATCAGGTCCAGATGACTCCAGAAGGAAACACTTGAATATTGGGCACTCGCATCTACACTGAAGCCTTTACATACAAGAAAAGACAATCAAGATCTTTGTAGGACAAAACGTGGCTGACTGTATTACCCCAGGTTTCAAAAAGGAGGAAAGGCCAACCCAAATCAAAACCCCAAATGGATATTCTCCCAGAAACGTCCTGTCTGTTGAAAGTGTCTAGACACTCTTGCTCATCTTCCCTTTTATAAGTAGACTCCTTCAAGACGTTTTGCACTGTTCTATGGTTGAAGCCAATTGTGTTGCCCTTGACGTGTTCAATGTAATGGGCTCTCTTTCTGTTCATTAGTATGGAGGCTTAATATTGATCCAGAAGGGGCGCCTGGGTGGTTCAGTTGGTTAAGCGACTGCCTTCGGCTCAGGTCATGATCCTGGAGTCCCGGGATCGAGTCCCACATGGGGCTCCCTGCTCAGCAGGGAGTCTGCTTCTCCCTCTGACCCTCCCCCTTCTCGTACTCGCTCTCTCTCATTCTCTCTCTCTCTCAAATAAATAAATAAAATCTTAAAAAAAAAATTTGATCCAGAAGGCTTTTTACTGGCTTGGCTTTCTACCATGGATATACCAGAGCCTCCAGCAGTCATGTGCATGAACATGTATGTGTGTTGGGTTTGCATGTGGTACTTCAACCCCACAACCTAATGGCCACAACATAGCCATTCAAACTCATCTTCCTTTATGACACCTGGACCCAGTCGCTCTGAAAAATTGATTCCTTGGTTTCCCTTCCTTTATGCCTCTCCTTACATGAGTCTCCTTCCTAGAAAAACTTTCCCTGACTTCCTTTCTCTGACCATCCATGTTTCTTTTCCATTTTTGAAAAAAAAACAGATCAGATGCATCTTTCTCTGACACTCTCTGGAGGGTCCTCTGAATTTTTGTGTTTATTGTTGGCAACATTCATTTGACATCTATTACCTATCATCTAGTATTGTTAGATACATTTTGATTTATCATTGATGATAAATGTTTTCTTTTCCTAACTAAATTTTAAATCAGCTAAGGTCATGGAACATTGTGTAGCCATAATGCATTGCACATTAGAAGATATTTAATACAATTGTAGCTTAAGGGATATCTAATCATTAACATTGGGGTACAGCATAGGATGTTTTAAAGAAATTAAGCCATAGAAACTGTGGGATTCATTTTGGAGATAATTTTGTTCAATTCAATATTGAGAGACATCATCATTGTGTCTTAGAACACATTTCAATACAGTTTATGTTATGCATATCCTTGGCAGTTTGGATCCAGATAATATATTCAATGCTATGACTGAAAATTCACATCCTTCTATTGACTCTTTTGGTTTATCTCCCTTTTTGGAATGTGACATTTCTGCCATCAAGACATCTTGTCGAATAATTAAAAAAAAAAAAAAAAACTTGAGTAACTCAATTCATGGGTATAGTAAGGAGCATGGATTCTTCAGCTTAGTAAAGACTGAGAAAAGGGATGACACCACCTGCTGCCAACTCCTACAGATTCTCTCTGATAAAGAATTCCTTTTGAATATAAAAATTGGTCAAATAGAATCACAATCTATTCTTGCTCAACTGCAGCTAGTATCTTTTTTACTCTTTCATTTCTGTTTTTAATTGCTAATAGGTAAATAAGAATGGTATTTAAGAAAACAGGGATTCCATCCTGTATAAAAGTTGTCCATTCATTAAATTTGCAACCATTTATTGAGGGCCAAGAGTGGTCTAAATCCTAAGTCACTGGGTACTGTATTTCTCTCTCAATGTGGCAAGAGTGAATAACGTTTTCTGAGCTTTTTAGTTACTTGTTTGAAATGAGTACTTACCAATTTTTTACCTCTAAGTTTTCTCTCCCAAAGACAAGTTACATCTTTGGGTCTACAGTGACAATAGTAACTGAATTCGATCACTTCACTCTTTTTAAAACCCTGTACTTAAAAGTAAGTGGAAAAGAAACCTTGAGACTGCTCCTTCTTCAGAGAAAATAACTTCCACTCCCACCATCTTAGAACTAATTCTTCTTTATCCCTCTGGCTGAATTCTTCAGTCTCAGCCCAGGATTTCATATTCAGATGAATGTCCATATCACCGCTACCTAGAAAACCAATTTCTAAAGAAACTTCAGGTGCCTTAGGAAGCAGTCCAAAATCAAGGGCACATTTCTAAGTAAATAGCCATTGGTGGCTTTCAAAAACAGAATATATAAAAAAGCTCAGAGGCTATTACCCATCCATCTTTCTGTTTGATGATCTCGTCCCATTGGATGTGAGACTGGGTCAAAGAAATAAGTCCAGGAGTTGTCCTCTTGACTCTGAGTTGTCATTCTTTGGTCTGGATGGCTGTCTTGGGCTGGGGCTGTTGTGACAATGTAGTTCAAGCAAATGTCAAAGTGTTAGTTGACATCTGGCCAGGGATACATACACTGATACTTTTAAAAAGACTTTATTCTCTAGACAAGACAATGAAAGCATCTTCCTGGTATAGAGGGCCAAGAAGATGTGTAAACACAGAATGTTTTAGCAGGTATGGGTTTGTTCATGCTCATTTACTTAGCAATCAGCATGGGAAGTAGAGGCCACAAAAGCATTAATGACCCCTGCATGAATAAAGGATGAGTTATAGTCATCATGTGAAGATAAAGAAGTGGTTCTTGAACCACACGCCATGTGGCCACCATCCCCTAAAGGAGGAAGTATCTAAGCACATGATGTCATTCCGAGACAACCACATCCCAGTGAAATGCACATTGGGCTGGCAGTGATTTAGAGAAGGAATCAGCCTTCCCACAAGATAAACCTGAAATAAATGCCATTCACCTCAAAAGCATGAATGGAATCCATTAGAAGCATTACCTTCTAACAATGGGATTCACAGCTCAAGGGACATACAAGAATTCAACACGTGCTTTTGCATCATTCTGAGCCAGTGGAGATATATAGGTAGAGAAGATTCCAGTAGTAGCCCCTTAGCACCAATCACACCACGTAGCCAGTCACTGAATCCACTGCTCTGGCAGGTAGGCATTCAGAAGCTGCCACCACCCGAAGGACATTCTGCATTATCTTCTATGTTGCAAATGGAGACAGGGGACTATTCTGATACCAAGTGAGAATACGGAATTCACATTCTTTTACAAGACAGGATGCATTTCCGTTTTTCTGCCACACAGACAAAAGAATCATGCATAGCAGCTTGCAGAGCCAAAGTTATCTGGCATCACTTAGAGATGATGACAGAACTCGAGTCCAAGTTCCACAATCCCACAACTCAAGAATAGAGAAAGTGTGTTTTTGTAAATGTAAGAAAAGAAGCACCGAGCATTCAAAGAGAAATCTCCAAATAGACATGACCAAAGGGCTAAATGACATCACACAGGTATTTTTTAACTATCTGGTTCCATTTCTTCCAACATTAGGATTCTAACCAAATGCTTTCTAATGTGCCCAGTATTTCATAAAGCCATGTTGTAGATTCCTTTATAAAACAAGAGGGAGTATTTGGTCAGATCAGTCTCTGCTACAGTCTCACTGGGGGATGCCCAAAACTAGATCTGAAAGTGACACACGCAAGAGACATATTCTCTGTGTCTCCTTTGTATGCTATATCATTCCTGTTTTCGTGATTTGTTATGAGCATCTAAGGGTTGGCTCTGTGTTGGCCACATCATAATTTATTAAGGAAACTTAATATCTTGTGACAATTCCTTCAATGTCTTTCTGTTCAGTGTCCTCAATGCTCAACATTTAACCCAAGAGGAAGCTTCCACCCAAGTTTGCTTGTTAAACAATCCATTACCAGCTGTCCCTGCTGTTGAATGAGAGTCTTCTTTTGGTGATTGGGGATATTCCCCAGGCCATCCATTCTCAAACCACTGCTCTTTCTCAGTAGCTGTTTCTTCCATTGTACTACTAGGGATTGCCTGAGCTGTGAGAAGAATGTCAATTGTGAGCCATGATTGTCCAACTTCCTTAACAACACATATCCTAATACTTTAAGGCCATATACACATGGGAGAAAAGGTAGAAAAGGAAAGCAGCAAGGAGAGAGATTATTGGTATTCTGAAAGAGATATTAGAAATCAGTGGCCCAATCCTTCAATTTTTCGGATAGGAAAACTGGGACCTAAAGTAGTTTTGCTCAGATTGGCACAAAGTTAGGACTGGACCACAGTCTATGAATTCCCAGTATGATTCTTAGGTTCTTAGTCTACCATACTCTATGGCCTCATATATCCTTGTCTGAGAGAACAGTGTGTTCAAAGAATTAACCTCTTTGCTGCTGTGATTTGGGGGGAGGACTGTATTATATATACCAAGTGATGACAAAATCAGTGTGGTGGGAGGCCTTCTCAAATGGTGGTCACATAATCCATGATCACATGCACTGGAAATGCACCAGCAGTGGATTTGCCCAGCATGAAAGATGTTGACAATGACTGGCACATTACGAGGTTATGTCTACGTGGCATCCAAAATTGCCAAAATTACTTTTTAACAAAATTAAGTCAATGGAAGAAAACTATTCTAGCCAGTGTTTGGCATTATATAAACAATAGGAACGTGTGGCAAGCTAAAAATACCAACCCCTTGGTGTTGTAATTGTCCAGTTTTGAAAAGAATAAAATGAATGGAATAAAACTGTATCAGGGTACCTTTGGGAAAAATCAGAAAGCCACTGTCATTTTCATTTATAGCAACTAATAGCAAATTTTTAGTTCAACAAGAAAATGAGAGCCTATAAACTTGCCAAGCCAAAGTATATTTTGCAACTGGTAAAACTGGGTTGTATTTCAAAATTTTAGAAAAAGATATGTGTGATTTGATAATAAGAAAAATCTTTAAAAAATAAAACTTGTGTCCTCATTTTACCCTTGCACTGGCCAAAGCATTCCTGGGGTTAACTGGTTATCCAGAAGGAGGAAAAAGAAGTCCGAAATCTTCAGTTTTACCTCCCATTGACTAAATCACTACCTCCTGACAAATAATGAAGTTAGAAAAACTATGAGCCTAATTACAAAAAAGGGGAAATGAACCCAAACATAAACTGCTTCTTCAAAATTTTTTAGAAAAGAAAGAAAAAAAAAAAAGACAGAAATGCACGCATGCGCACACACACATGCACACACTTTTATAAACATAATGATCCTTTAAATACCCAGTAACCCTTGCTGTTTTCAACATATGGATTAGCAGAGTATAGGATTTCCATTGTCAAGTAAGAAAGTTGACTCTCTTCTAGGAGTGGTAATGTTCTTTGATAAAGCCCAGAGGTCACCAACCAGAATCTCTTTATGTTTGCAAGTACTGATAAGAGAATTGTAGTGGTTACTGTTTTCCCTTTTCCTCTGTGAGGTTCTGTCATATCTGGCTTTTCAACTACCCTCCAGGAATGATGCCCCCCCCCCCCACCCACACACCACCTTCTGACAATGGGCTCATTAATTCCAAGCCTCTCATGTAGCTGGCTCCTTTTTATGTACAAACGGTCTTAAATTCTAAGATACACTCTTAGGTTCCAAAGGGGATTGGTATGGAATCCCATTCTGAAGAGACTTCTGCTTCTCATCGCCTTCTTCTATCAGAAGACTCCTGTTAACTACACCCATAGTCTTCACACAAAAATAAAATTTACTGGGATAAGTAATGAGATGCAGGCCTGTTGGGCGTATTCAGTACAATGCCCAGGACTTAAAACCTATGTCCTAATTGATGTCTGAAATGTTCTTTTGTTGTCTGAAGGCATCCCTCAAACTCTGGCGTCTCCCTTTGGTTTCTAAGTGGCTGCTTCTTACATTCTTGCTTTAGGAGTATCCAAGGCTAACAGAATGATAGTTAAACCATAGTTTTAAAGATGCTACAAGGTGTTACCCTAAATTAAAGCTTCTTTTATTCCAAACATGATAGGCATATCGCCAAGAGAGAGGTGAAAGAAGAAGAGTATATACTTCTTACTTTTTTTTTTTTTTTTGTCCTATCCTCACAGACCAGTAGTGAGACTTGAGATTGTTTTGGAAAACCTGAGATGTTGGCACGTAAGTAGAAATAACAGCATCAAAGCCTTCCCCAAGTTACTCTGGGCTTAAAAGCAGAAAAAGAACAGTCACAGAAATTCAGATATAGTCTCTATGAGCTACTGACCTTCCTCCAAAGAATACAAGGGATGCCTTTCTACAGTGCAGTGAGGAACAGAATGTAAAAAAAGAAACTGATTCACCAGAGATCTTCACAGAAAAGAAGGATTCCAAAGATCATCACACTTGTCAAGCTCTCTTTCCAGGCCCCACTGCTCAGCACCAAAAGATACATCTTCCTCACACACTTCCATAAACACACACAAATCACCCAAATGGAACCTTGAGGAATCTCTAACACAAAAAACAAACATATCTCAGATCTTTTAAAAACATTTTAACCTTTCCACCATTTTGACCTTTTGGGCAACCTGACCAGTTAGCATTTTTCTCCCAATTTCTAAAACTGGTATATAGATTTGGCAGCTCTGCATGCTCTGTGGATAAAAGAGATGACTGTATAGAAATAGAAGATGTGGCTAATGTCTTAAACAAAGTCTTCCCTATTCTTCAGAAGGACTTCATTAAATCATGGACACCAGCACAGCTGACCATCAGCCTCCTTACTTGTGCTTGCAGGATGCTGAGCCTCCTCTTCATCATGATGCTCATGGTGAATGAGAGGAGAGTGTGGTTCGCGGGGCCAGGCCTCTCCCTTAGTGCTGGTGCCACTTTGGTCCACATCTGCTGTGATGATGGTTATATACACTGTGACTTTTTATCAACCAACTTTTGGTGTTGTGTTCTTCCATTAAAATGCATGCTATTTAACAGTGCCATGCCTAAATAGGACCTCCGAGCATCTATGCTCAATACTTTTGAGTGACTCCACTCATCTCTCCCAAGAGAAAAATCAATGGGCAGGAAATTTCTTAATGATCACCTGTTGTTCTACTATAATCACTTTGTCAAGGGCAGCACCGTAAACCATGCTAATGTGTTCATTTTTATAATAAAGCAACATAAAGTATCTTGTGCCCAGATGGTATGATTGATAAATGACTCCTAGGTTGAACTGAGTATCCTCATGAAAGTTAAGAATTTGTGATGAGACATGAACTACATTTCCCACCATGTCCTGATGACTGACCTTTGCAGCATCATAGACTTTGAGGGGGGGAAAAAAAATCTTTAATGAAGTATGCATAACCCATTACCAGTCATCCTTGTAGTAGTCTGAAGTAATACTCCTGGATTCGATTCACCGGGGCTCCGCGAGGTCCAATCCTGGTTCTGTTTTGGGTGGTTAAAAAGCCGTGGTGTGGTTGGAACTGTGATAATGATGATTGAAGCAATTAGGAAAATGTTAGCTCTTGAGCCTTCAGCACTTGTTTTGCACATCTCTCCCTTCTTTGGTCTACACAGTGAATCATCTATACCAGCTTGCATAGATGGTTGAGTGGAAATGGAGGGAAAGCAGAGAGGATTTCAGCTTGATTCAGCCATATTGTTAAGCACCTCAGTGTCCTCTGCATTCCGTCACAGAATACACTGGGCTCAGAACATGAGATTTTCCGGAGAAAGCAGCCAAAGGAGCTGCAGTAGAAGGAAGAACAGCTTTGCAAACACCAGCCCTCCACCGAGGACAACCAAGAACATCAGAGTTTTTGCCCATCCATGCAGTCTGTAATGGCCCTGTGCGCTTGAAAGCCCAAGGAATTGGTATCACTGGCAAGTGTGCTAGAGCAAGATCCTTAAGCTGAAGAGGTAGATACCTGAACATTATACCATGATGATATGATCACTTTATTTCATTAGTAGTTTTGGTGGGGAAAGGCATACCCTGAGCAACCATGGATTTCTTACAGATGATTGTAAGAAAGAACATCTACCTATAGTAGCCATATGATCTAGCTGTACATTTCTGAATGTTTAGCAAACACCTATGGTATTCTCATCAAATACAAAGCATTTCATGAGCAAGCCATTCATAGCCAATGAGAGAAAAACAAGATTCATACATTCAGTAGAAAAGCACCATAGGTCACCAACCACCATTACGGCAGCTCCCGGAAAAAAAAAAAAAAAAAGAAGCATACATCCACCAGAGGCCTGATACTGTCACCCAAAATGATAGAGCTGGAATAGGAGACGCACCTGACAGAAGGCTCATGACAAAATTAGGATCAGTTGCTCTTGTGAAAATATTATGTACAAACCCATCCTAATTCTCTCAAATTTAATTTTGATACCCAACTAATACAAAATTCTTTTCGGAACTGTAATACTATCAGCTTGACTTCACAAGTGAAACAAGTTGGGTTTAGAATCATCATCCACATTCTTAATAAGCATGAAAAAGTGGCAGTTGTCTTTACCCCTACAGAAGAAAGAAGGCATTCTGCTGAATTACGTGCACAGGTGCCAAGCAGAAAAGTGAACTGAAATTGGAAAATATGCCACAGAGATGAAAAACACCAAGGGACGTTTTCCTCCGGGAACTTGATCACACAATTTATTTTCAGGTTGATCTGTTTGGGTTGCCACCCAAGAAAACTGAGTTTCTCAAGTATCAAGACCATATCTTTACTCATGGCCCCACCTGGAAGATGGGACCACATCCGGAACCCAGAAGACAGTGTGACAGTAAAGCTCCAGTGTTTTTGGTTATTTGGTTTTCTTTCTGAAATTATTAAAAAGAGTTTCCTTGTTTTATAGACCAAGCTCTGCAGTGGTGTCTGGGCTAAAGAATACACCATTTAAAAGCTTAGATATAAAGCATCTAGTTCATCTTGAGTATTGTGGAATTGATGCCATATAGTCAGATGCCTCAAAGCCCAAGCTATATTTTTGGACTCCTCCCTTCCTGGGTGCTGTCCATTTGGGGACAGTCCTCTCAGGTTTCAGGAGGACAGTCAGAACTTCAGTGACCTGAGAGAATACAGTCACACTGCAAAGGTCAACCTTCTCTAAGGACAGGAGTGACGGAGTGATATGGTGGAGTCAGTTCGGAATTCTCGTCTCTGTTCAGCAACATCTCAGATCATTACAGATATGTCTAGGAAACCCAGTCATCTAGCTAAATATTAGACTGACCTTTGCATGTTTTTTAAGGGATGTTTTTCAGCTCGCTTGCCATCTCAAAGTTTTATAACTGTCACAAATTCGTATACTATTATGCAGTATTTTCGCTATTTGTTTTTAATAACTGGCACTGTTTTAATTAAAGCTCAGCTGATGTTTGTCCTTCCCTTCAATGTCTTTCTGTTATATTGGTGCCCTACTCATTTTTTAAAACTAGATTTGTTTCCTTGATTTCAACCAAGTTTTGATGATGATTATTCTTGAATTCTGGTTCCCAACTTTAATCTGTTCTAGGGCCATCTAAATCTTCAATGTAGAATCATCTACAACTTTTAATTAATATCCTCCCACTCACATTTTATTGCTTCAATAAACCAGTCTGAAGGCAAGAGCTCTGGCTTTTTTCATCTTTGTGTTCCCAGCACTAAGCACAGTAGGTACACAATAAATACTTGTTGTAATGTTTTACTGTGCTATTGTCCGACAAAGCTCAATAATTCAAGGAGAATCTGGAGTAGCAGACCACATAAGTACATGAAACAGAAAGAACCTAAGGCATTAGGAGTTTTATAAATATTTTCCCCATTTCTCCTCCAAAAACATTTTGACTTCCATTTTTTTTAAAGTCATTTTTCTTCCTTCATAATCTTACCAAGATATAACTAAAGTGTGATCAGTCATAGGTATATGCTCATTTTCCACATTAACTATTTCCCAAGGTAGACACTGTTGGGCATCACTCAGATTAATCAGTAAGCCTTGCATAAATGGTTCTACTGTAATTGATTATTCTTACTGGTGCTGGAGATAAAATCTTCATCATCATCAATGCCTGATCCAGAATAACTGGGGTGTTTGTCTCTTTCATCTTCATTTTCTTCAGTTGGTTCCCAGCCTGCTGAGATGATATTTGAATCCGTACCTGTTGTGGTGACTTATGTTAGTGGCTGAACTGGATGCCAAGCAACCCATTTGATAAAGGAAGAAAATCAGGCACAGAATGTATAATGGAATTCCCAACATTTCAAGAAGAAAATGAGACATCTGACTTGTATACTCCCAGATTCTTATATCCTGGTCTCTGAAAACTAATGCATAGATCTAAAGACAATTGGCTGTGACCTTCACAACTGAACAATCTCTTTAAGAAGTAAAAAGAATAAATATGGACAAAACCCAACCAGAGAAACAAAAGAAAAACAGGCCAGTAAACATTCCCCCCTCCCATGCTTTCGTATTATTAACTTATTAATAAGCACGTGCCCTTAAAGCAAGGGTGTCAAGAATAGAATGGAAAGGTTTCACACGTGCCTATTTGTTTTGTCAGCCACCTGCAGAAAACTTTCACAATCTAAACACATGTCCGTCATTTTTAAAATCCCATGGGTGTATTCACGATGTGTTAATTCATTTGTTGACTTCTCCAGCATCACACCACCAGAGCTCTGAGCACAAGCTGAGCTACCACCCCAACAACAGTGCAGCACCCAGCCATAATGACGTTAGGCACTTCACAGAGAAACCATGCCTGGCATTTCTTAGTCAACCAAAAGGGTCAGCTAAAGTGGACTGGAGCCAAGATTCTGAGAAATTCTCACATTTTCCCTTCTGGACACATCACAAAAAAGAAGATGGAGACCCTCTGCCTCTTCTCAGTGGTTGCTGTAGAAGGAGTCTCTTTCCTGAAAAGGGGTTTCCTATACTTTGAATGAGAGTTTTGGAGCGACCATTTGTCTTTTCTTACTATCAGTGGCTGCCCCAAGAATAGTTCCACTGATGGAAAGTTTCTGTATTTTTCTAGCTCTAGCTATGCTATTTTACTTTCTCTTGGAAAGTCAAGAATTTTTTTTTTTTTAAAGATTTTATTCACTCATTTGACAGAGAGAGACACAGCGAGAGAGGGAACAAAAGCAGGAAGAGTGGGAGAGGGAGAAGCAGGCTTCTGGCAGAGCCAGATGCGGGGCTTGATCCCAGGATTCTGGGATCATGACCTGAGCCGAAGGCAGACGCTTAATGACTGAGCCACCCAGGCGCCCCAGAAAGTCAAGAATTTTTAATGACTTTTGTCACTTTGGAATATCTTTCAGAGCCAAAATTTTGTTCTGTCATCAAGAAAGATTGGTTTCCTTTCACAGTGCTCTTTTAATAGCCTCCTCCAGGCCTGTATTAATTCTATAGAATAGAAAGAAGAAATCTGCTTATTAATGCTGTCAAATCAAACATATGGGTCTCCAAGCTCATGATCCTTTGCAAGTCATCAAAAACATTTGTGAAACTAGAATGGACTTCAGGCTTAGTATCCCTGAGGTCAATGAACTATTGAAACTGTCAAGAGATCTTATGAAATAAGATAGTAATAACTCATTACCAGCCATTATCGTTGTTGCGTGAAGATGATTCTTGGACTCTGATGGTTGAAACCACCATGAAAGCCAATCCTGGGCTTCTCGCCTCTTGGTTGCTGTTTCAGGAGTTGTACCACTAGAGCTCATCGAAGCTGTTGTAACCATAATTGAATCGATGGTTGAAAGGTTAATTATCAATCCCTAAGAAACAGCACTGTATATGCTTCTACTCTTTTACCACTCAAGAGAGTCATCTATACTTCATATAGATGGTGGGAAGAAACAGAAAAAGCACACAAGTCCCACTTTATTTTCAAGGCCCATACTGCAGGTCATAGAATGTCAGAAATGGAAAGTCCTTAAATACCATCTGGTTCATGATTCTTATCTTAAAGAGGAAAAAACTGTGTTGGATGGAATTTGCCTTGTCTGGAGTCAGAAAGGCCGAATGACAGAGAGCATGACAGCAGTCTTTGAATTTTGAAAAACTATAATGTAGAAGAGGGATTAAATTTTTGTCTGTGCTCCCAAAAGGCCAAACTAAGGGCCGGTGGTGATCATTGTAAGGGGAACAAATATTCTCCCAAATGTTGGATTTAAAAGGTTATAATCTGGACTATGCAACGATGAACTTCTTCATAAAGTATTGTGTTCCCCACCATCAGAAAGATCACTTAGCAGGAAAATTTTGTAGATCAAATGACTAGAAGTGTTGACTGAGCTAGGCTATTGAAGATCCTCTCCAAATCTGAGAGTCTATGCTTCTGAAACCAAGCTCTCCAGAGTCCTAGCCATTCATGTTCTACACACTCTATCTTGGCCAACCAATATCATTCTCTAAGAATTTAGGGTATGATATTTCTGCCAGCAATCCCAGACACATAATCCCAGCAATCCCCAACACACAGAGGAATGCCACATGAAGGGGAAGATAGAAAAAGATGCCTTTCCACCTTTTTCCATTTAGTGTCCAGATCCTCCAGCAATTTTGCCCATGGTCACTTTTTTATACCAAAACTATATTTTGCAAAGCAGAACAGGACATTTTGAGTCCATTTTGAAAAGGTGGTAATCAATCAGGAAAGATGCACAGAAATGAAGTGACCCAAGGATCTCACAAATAAGATCAGAAAATAAGAGCCCTGGTTTGAAAACTTCCCAAGACCGCCATTTCTGCCACCATGATGTGCACCAGAAGAATATTAAATAGTGGATAAAAAACTGAAAAAAAAGTTGAAGCAGAGAAGCTGAAGCCATCATTAAATCCCCAAATACAAAAGTATTTGTGATTAGATTTCTTTTTTTTCAGCTTTCAAGAAAGCCCAGAAATGGCCCAGGATGAAGCACTGACAAGAAGACTTTTTCTTCACAATATTTGTTCTACGAAGATAAGCATTGTAATTTAACATTTAAAAATAGCATATTCTTTATTCTGCGTCCCCCCCTCCAGCATGACCTTTAGCACCATGATATGAAATCACAACATAACATCAGCACTATTTTCCTTACATGAATATTTGTTAAAATATACTTTATTCGACTAAACAAGTGTTAAGGACCATTTTTATTACTCTCCTGCAGAAAGAATGCCCAATTATTTTGAAATATGGCCATATCCTCCATCAACAAAAGTTAATAAATGAAGATATGCCTGTAACCTCCCACTGTTATAGGCCTGGAAACTCTTCCCACATAAGCTCACAGTCCAGAATACTTTGCAGGGATTTAGAATTAATCATCAAACATCCAGGCATCCTAGATTCTGATGGAAAATAACAGGTCACTCCTCCACTTTACAGCTGAGGTTTGAGAAGTCCAAACAAGTACACAGGGCCTACACTTTCCACCCATAAGTCAGTATTTCCCTCTACTGTTATTGACTGTGATAATTAGATCAGCAGAAAGTAGGAGTATCTATTTTCTAATAGACTTCTTTCAAGAGGATTTGTTCTAAAGGAATCTCCTAATTAAAGCTCCTGAAGGAAAACTAATTCTGATTCTATGTGCATACCGCCAAAAGGAAAACAAGTAGAACACGGAGGAGTATCCAGTTGTATCCCCAGATCCATAGGCCTCTCTGATAAACCAAATGGTACCAGATCCCAATTCCCTAAGGATCAAGACAGGACATCAGTGCGAAACTTCGATGTGATCATGGAAGTCCTTCTCCTTATACTGAAAAACTTGGCATTCAGGACAATGGATAAGCAGAAGACATAGCAGTTTACCTGTTGTTGCTGTTGCTGTGTGATCCTGAGTCTTAGGCTGTGAGTTACCAAACCAGGACCACATCCAATGATTTTGCTCCTGAACTGCTGTGTGGCTGTCTGAGTGCACAGTTGAAGTAACTGGATCAATTATGAAAATACCATTTAGTGAGATCTTTCTACAAAACCCTTACTCTCAGCTCTATATATATATAACGTCTGTCTCTATTATAGAGCAAAGATTAGAAAAGAAAGATTGAGGCCTGGTTTTATCTTTCCAGTCTCCTAAAGTCTCACATGAGAAATGCAAATTCTGTATGGGTATCAATTCAGAGCTACTCATTCTTCAAACAGAACCCTCTGGACACAGGCTCAGAGCAAAATCAAGTAGCTACTTAACAACCTGTAAAGGAAAAGAGATTTTATATTTACTTGATGAGGTGACCCAGCCATGGACTGAAGGTCTTTGATGCAACGTTTCATGAAGTTGCTTTTATTCATTTGTTTTTGGAGTGTCTTTAGAGGTTCTTACTTGTATCTTTTGGGCCTATCACTTCATGCCGGTAGCCTATGATGACAACTGGCGTTTCAAAGCTCCACCCACACTCACGAACTTCAACTCAAGCTCTATGCTTGAGCAGGAACCTTGCAAAGGGTTGTGTTCAAAATATTGAAATCAGATAAAGCTTTGTCAAGTTTCCATCTATCACCTTCTGTCACTTGTAATTCTAATTCAGAATGTGTTTCCAGAAAAGAAACAAAACTGCCCAAGTTAGAGAAATTCTGGATGTTATTCAAATTAGAGAAAGGATAATCAGTGATATTTTGCAATTTGAAATTTCCCATTTGACTCTCAAGTAGGACTTGAGGCCAGAATGTTTCCCCGTGGAAGAAGAATAGCAAAATCGTCAGGATAAACATCTAAACCAGTTGAGATTTTTAAAAGCCATTTTGAGTTATAGGCCCCTTTGAAAATCTGATATAAGTTATGACTTCTGTCCTCAAAAAAGTGATCTGACACATACACATTCTCAAAATTTTGTATATTATTTCAAGCTCTTGAATGCCTTATGGCCCATCATTGAACCTATTGGAGGTCCATGAACACCAGGTTAAAAACTTTGACTCTAGATATACCAAATGTCAACAACCTGTGCACTATGCTCCGTGTTACAAAGGGCACATTGGCAAAGAATAGAAAATAGAGACATGGGAGCCAATTTCACCAATGATGCCCCCAGATAAACCCAAGCATCCCCCCGAAAAATTCTCAGGCACCCCCTCCTGCCCTCAGAAACTTTATTAAAGACACAGAGCTCCTGCCACCTTCACCCTATAGAAGACCAAGAAGAGACCAACAGGAAGTAAACATACCAGAGCAAGATAGAAATAGGAATTATTTCTATTTTCCTGAAAGGAGTCATATGAGATTTGGGGAAAATGGAAGGAGCTACTGTCTAGCCAGCAGAGTTTCCAATTGTCCCCACCCAAGTAGGCAATGCCAGACCAAAAATATATATGTATATATTTCTTTGACACCCAGAAGACAAGGAAATAGAGCGTTCCAAGGTAGGAGTCTCTGCTTCCTGAATTAGTTTAGGTTTCTGGATTCCAGAGAATACCAGATCACCAATAGAAAAGAGGCTGACGACATGCCTCCAGGAAGCCTCTTCCAAAAATAACATTAATAATAAAAAGCCTGCTGGAAGTCAAAACCTACCAGATGGTTGTTCTTACTGGCTTTCCCTATTGACATCCACTAAGGACCCTTAAGGAAGGAATGAGCCAGCCAACCTAAGATGCACTTCTCTGTCCTCAGCCAGACCTCTTCTTGACATCTGTTCTTCTGCAGGCATTATGGAGGATTTGCAATCACTCATCCCCACCAAGACCCACCTTTCAGTCTGATAGTCATGAAGCTTTGGGAATCTCCTCACTGGGCTCAGAAACTGGGGTCTATTCAGGAACTTACCAGTAGTCATTTTTTCTAACATGCCAGGGGCTGCTTTCAAGTTTCCACCCGATTTTTTTTCTCCAACACTCTTCTTTGCATGAATGGATTTATCTGGAGTTACCATTGGCCATTTTGGATGCTATGGCACTTCAATGACTCTCAGGTTAGCCCTGGACTCACCCTGTTGGACCACTGAGTCTCTTCCCAAACTACTAAGAGAAACTTAGCTAAGTGCTTTGGAAAGAGAAAAGCACAATTCTTTCCTTAACCCAAATCCTGAACTATGTTTTAGTGAAATCTCAAAGCATTCCTTCTCCTTGGTTTCTGAACAGCAGGTGGGCTCCATGAAGGTCAGTCCAACTCTGAGTGCCCAGTAACTAGAGCACCAGCATAGAGAAGACCTCAAATATTGGTTACTAGCTTACAAATCCTTATTTCCTTTCAGTACTACTGGTACTTACCACTGGATCCCCAGCATTAGAATAGGCTTGGTACATACTAGGTCCTCAAAATCTGTATGCTGACTAACTTGGGCAGGAAATGTACAATCCTAAAAGATGTGCTGACTGTTCATTAACTGTCCTTGTTGCCTTTCTAAAGTACATGTGTAATACTCACTATTTGATATAGGCTAATAATGGCTTCAATGTGAATTTCACCCATTCCTAAAAGATATATTTTGCCACGATTTTCTTCTTTGGTAGGAAATAGTACTTTGGAGTAGACTCGATCTGCCTCTCGCTGAGACCACTAATTGCTACGTTTGCCGACATCTGACAAAATTGCATGCCCTGATGATAGGCGCCTTCCACATGGTTACTTTAGCAAGGCAGGGGACTCAGGAGCAGCCAGCAGCTTACAGGACCGCCTGCTGGGTTTGCAGAAGCTCCTCTCCAGAAGGGTCGTCCGTGGGATGATAGACAACGAGGTGACACACCCTCCAGAGAGCCAGTAATCTGGGAAAGCCTGAGCAGTTTGAAAACATCTGCTTCCTGAAAATGCTTCAAAGGATCTGCAGAGAACGACCAGTCTTCGGGCCCCTTTGTACCGCGCCCCCCTCCCCCACTTAGCAAGCTGCTCATAGAAATTTAAAACACTGTTGAGCAAGTAACCTTAGGTTAAATCATAGTGCTCTGAAGGCTGCCCTGGCTTCTGGGTGACAAGGCACAGAAAAGAGCCCTATGCTGAGCATTCACAAACCAGTGAATGTCTGCCACACTCTTTGGAGACTAGAGTCCCACCCTCTAAAGAGCCAGAGCCAGGACAAAAGAAAATCCACACCATACTAGGAAAGCTGCTCAAGAGGCAGATGCCCTACTTCGGTTTGAATAATCCTCCACAGAAGGAATGCAGCCAATCTGGAAACCTGTTTTAAAACAAACCATAGGGAAAAAGCAAAGCGGGAAGTGAAGAAGGAGGCCAGAGGGAGAGGCAAACACTTTCCAGTGAAAAGTGGAGCACAAAGGGCAAAACCCCAAAGAAATCGAAAGCAATGTTGACATATTTCTGCTCTCGGAGTCCTCAAGTCATGAATTATCCACGTTACCAAGCAAGTATTAACAGCCTTCCCCTCCAGGCTGGGACAGACAACTTTTAAGCAGATTGGATATGATCAGATAACTCCTTCAGATATGCTTCCTTAGACCAAAAACAAAGGAATTGTTTAGTAAACCAGGGGTGATGAGTAGGGCTGAATATTGCACCATCAATAATATCGCCTAAATCAAGTTAAAACATAAAAACATGAAGTTGAAAAAAGCAGATGTGATGGTATGCATCCATTAGGATCCCAACTTTATGAAGACAATCTTATCCAAAGGTGGAAAAGAACAAGAAGGAAACATGTAAAAGTAAAAATCCCTTCTGTAACGTGCTTGAATTGTCATCACATCCCTGCGACAAGACTTCCAGTATGGCAACTTCTCATCCCCAGGGAAGCAAAACAGAGGCACAGGTGGAAAAAAAAAATTGTAGGCAGTAGCAGGCTATGCATACAGGGCATGGGCTACCATAATAGCCTCCCTCCCCAAACGACGGTCGTCCCCAACTTCTCGAGACAGGAGACAATCAACACACAAGGGAGTGCAGATCACCCAGGAAGATCAGAGACGGTTTTGTAAACAAATTGCCACCGGAAAGCACAGTGATTCATTCTCCTTACTGGTAATGGGGGTATGCTCTGTGTTGTCAGACACCCCGGTACTGTCTTGGTCCTGGGTCGGGTATACAGTTGGAAGGTGGGTGTGGAAGATGTTGTAGCCTCCTGAAGTGCTCCTCTCGCTGGAGGATCCGCTGCTCACATCATCGTCAGTGGGGCTGCTGGGGTTGATGTCTTCAGGGTTCGTTCTGTATTCACCCATCTGGCTATAGCGGGTGCCATCGCGGTTGACGATGGCTGGGGAGAAAGGGAAGGCACTTTCAGAACTTGACAGCTGACATTTTCTTTTTCCTTTCTTTTTTTTAAAAAGATATTTTATTTATTTATTTGACACAGAGAGAAAGCATAAGCAGGGGGAGTGGGAGAGGGAGAAGCAGGCTCCAGGCTGAGCAAGGAGCCCAATGCGGAACTCGATTCCAGGACCCTGGGATCGTGACCCGAGCCAAAGGCAGACGCTTAATCGACTGAGCCACCCAGGCACCCTAACATTTTCTGAGTATAGGAAAGACTATGGATTATCATATAAGACAGTGACTTCAAAGCTATTTTTCTTTGTTATTAAGCAAAACAACACCTAACTATCTGTCTAGTGGAGAGGGGCGGGGAGTAGGTGATGCACTAAGAAAGTCTACCCTCCCCAGCCCACCCACACACCCTGGAAATGGGGAGGAGGGACGAGGGTGTGTTTGGAAGTCCCCATGTTTGAATCCCAGCTTCATGTGCCCCTAGACAGAGCTGGTACCGAGCTTCAGTTTTGTCGTTGGTGAAAAGGGGATGCTACTACCTTTTGCTATGAGCACTATATGATACATGGTTTGTAAAGTGCTTAGCATAGGATTTCAAAGTGAGTTGGTCTCAATAAATGATAATTCTCCCATTGGTTCCTATTCTCCCTTCTCAAGTACATGTAAAATCTGTTGCTATTAATTCCATCTACTTCTAGAAAGGATTTGAAGTAGGAAACGAAGAGGTTAGCTGACTCAATAGGGAATATATATTTGCACATTGTGAAGAATGAGGCTTTTTTTCTAAGGGGCAAATTTTGTCAGTCTAAGATAACCCCTACTCTGGCTAAGAAATCAGCATGCCTAAATGCTGACAGAGACTCTGCCCATCCTCCGTGAGATTCGACCTTGAAATTAAGAGGCCCAGAGGTATGTAAAGATCAAAATCTTTGATTTAAACAAGCAAATATCTAGAATGGACAGGAGACGGAAAAGCAAGACCGAATTCATTCATTGTTCCTCCCTGAAAGGATGTGCTGCCTTCAAGCCTGGGCCACTCACTGCATAAGTGTGCATTTGGCTAAAACTATTTTCTGCTATATTGCACTGGACTAAATGTTCTTTTTGTCCACCTCTCTGGCTTGCCCAAGTAGAACGATTAGTAATACATAAATTAAAAAATATTGCAGGGGCGCCTGGGTGGCTCCGTTGGTTACGCGTCCAACTCTTGATTTCAGCTCAGGTCATGATCTCAGGGTCATGAGATCGAGCCTAGCACGGGCTCCGCACTCAACAGGGGGGTCTGCTTGAGATTCTTTTCCTCTGCCCCTCCCTTCGCTTGCTCTCTTTCTCTCAAAAAATAAAAAAAAATAAAAAAAAATAAATCTTTAAAAAAATATTGCGAAGTCTCAAACACCCTGATAATCTCTGCAGATGAAGATCTGATAAAAAAAAATATGACCAACTTGTACAGGTCTGGACTTTGAAAGGCATTGGTGGGGACCAAGGAAATGGGACATTTACTGAACATGACTATGGTCCTGGCATGCATTAGACATATTATCTTTCTTCATTTTCATTTCAAATCTCACATGTTGTTCCATTATCCAGATGAGAAAACTGAGGTTCAGAGTAAGTCATTCCTTTGAGATCACCCAGGTGGTAAGGAACTAAGATTTCCAACCAAGCCTGACTGAGACAGCACATCTCACCTTGTGGTCCTCCCTTTCCATGTGGCACGGGTCAGGGACAATTTTTGGCCAAACAGTGGGGGGCTGGATTTATGTGGCCAGGATGATTCTCATCTCTCTGCCACCCAAAACCACTGTTCCCTTGCACACTGAGGGGTCTGGCTCTTAGGAGGCAGAAGTCAGGCCTCTTCAACACTATGACACTTCTCAAAAAAAGCGAGGTTCAGAGGCCAGAAGATCAGGGTTAATAAGTTGACCTCTCTGAAAATTTGGTTGAGCTTTTTTGTTTCATACAGTGCCAGATGCCTACGTCTTGGGATCATCAAGATGATTTTAGGTGGATGTGGTATAAATAATGTTGAAATCCCTACCACGAAGCTTATGCCCTTTGGAATTATCTTCCAATACACAAATAATCAAACAGAAAATTTAGGGGGCCCGAATGCATCTCCCCCTAACACTAATTAATCTCCCCCATGAGAGAGAACATGCCTCAGACTCAGAACCTTCAGCAGCTAGAATTTAAGAAGACTATTTGATTTGTCCTACATTTAAGTGTATTTTTAAGGATACCCTCTGCTTATGACCAGGGATTCCATTCACAGGGGTTTGTTTGTTTATTTATTTAAAATTTATTTATTTGAGAGAGAGTGTGCATGAGTGGTAGGGGCAGAGAAGGAGAGAGAATCTCAAGCAGCCTCCCCGCTGAGCGCGGAGCCTGACGCGGGGCTGCATCTCACAACACTGAGATCAAGACCTGAGCCGAAATCAAGAGTCGGACACTTAACCGACTGCCCCACCCAGGCACCCTTAAAGTTTTTTTTTTTTTTTTTAAATAAACATATTTTAAGTAGAAAAGAACAGGCCAGTTAAGTGAAAAATAGCAAGTAAATGATTGTGCTATGTACACAGAGGTGCCCAAAAAAGTGCAAGTGGTTTTCAAAAAACTGCAGTTTGAGGAACAATGTATTGGGGTCGACTGAATCGTAGCTTCAAGCCACTGCAGGAAAAGGGGAAGGGACAGTGAATCACAGCCAATGTCCCCAGCCTTGGGCAAATGACTGCTCTCCTGCTCAAATATGAAGCACAGACAGAAAGTTCACCTAATCTCTTTCCCAAGAATGGGGACACTCCATCAAAGTCAGAAGAGATACGTACTTATGGTAATTGGTCCTTCAAAGGCACTGGGCAGGTGTGTGACCGATGTGCAATCTTCTTTGGGTGGAGCTGTGGAGTAGCAAAGAGAAAAAGCATGAGAACTTTAAAAAAAATGGGAGCAAAACTGATGCCCATTTCCATTGGTCAGGATGGGGCTTTATTAAAGCTCTATTTGGTAACTAGACCTTAAAAACTCAGAGAGCTTTAAACTGGCTTTGCTGTTGCAGGAAGAATGGATCCATTTGTGTATGATAGTTTTTATACTGTGTGTACGTGTGCATATGTGTGCATGTGCCTACTGTCTGTGCACAAAATGGCAACTTATTTGTTAGGTTGGTTTCTCTCAGTGTTGCTTCTTGATAAAAAGGAAGGAAGAAAGGGTTGGATGGATGGAGGGATGGATGGATGGAGGGATGGGTGGATGGATGGATGGAGGGATGGATGGATGGATGGAGGGATGGATGGATGGAGGGATGGATGGATGGAGGGATGGATGGATGGATGGATGGAGGGATGGATGGAGGGATGGGGATGGATGGAGGCCGGTAGGCAGACTGCTATCACAGGGAAGGCTGTTACCACAAGTATTTTAAGTGTTCTGCCATAAATCACTAGGTACTCATAACATTGGACAGAAACACAAGTTCAACAAAACAGGGCTTAGCTGCTTCCCAGGTCCCAGAAGCATCTTTCCTACAGGTAAAAGGCATGTCCCTTTACCTGCCTATTTCTTTGGCCTCATTGTGAAACTGACAGCTTTATATTCACCTGGAGAAAAGTAGGTTTTAGGAAAAGTCAGTCTTGCAAAGGCTAAGTAAAAGACATCCCAGAAGAGAATCTCAGAGAAAGTCACCTCCTCAGTAAGGCCATTCCTCACCATCCAATCTCAACCAGCCCCTTACCAATCCCCCCCATGTATCACCATCACATCTTTGCTTGCAGTTCTCCTTCTGGCTTACTGTTGTCTCAAATCATCTTGTTCATTTTACCTGTTGGCTGTTCATGGCACATCTCCCAACCCCTAACCCCTGCTACCCACCCACCTCTGAAGAACTATATAAGTTGAGTAGTGATGAGTAGTGACCTCATCTATCTTGGCCAAAACATTTATGTGTGATGGGCTCAGAGAGGCACTCGATAAATACTTGTTGAATGAATGAAAGAGGAAGTACCAGTATAATTCCCACAGGCCCATGCTTCCAGGAAACATACCTAAGATGTTAACCCCCCTGCCAAATGGTCTGCAGTGATAAACAGGTCAAGAAATGTTTAGATAAACCATGAATGTCAATGCCATAAGAAATTCTTTTTAAAAAGTTTAAGATATATCAGTTTATTTATGCATTTTAAGCATTACTCATGTGACAGATTAAAAAAAAGGAGCAAAAAGATGAACATGTTCCGGTCCCTGCTTTTAAGGAATTCACAAGGTCGTGGGCGACAATAACAATTAATATTTCTTTAGATTTTTACAGTTTTCAAAAAAATGTTCCCAATGATTTCCTCATTTGAAAAGCAGGGCAAATGGCCACCCTGGGAGATCTTAAAGAGTATCTACCCTGTCTGTTCTGGTAACACCACCAGCAACCGGCCTGACCCATGAGAAGCTTCTGATACTTTATGTTGCACAGACCCAGAAACAGGTCTTGGATTATGACTTCTTCGTGGCAGGGATGGAACAACTTTCCCCAAATTCAGGCAATAGTAGTGCCCTGGGAAGGAATTTCTAAGGGTTAGGTTGTAATAGAATGGGGCATCATGTAAAAAACACTAAGACAGTTTTGGAAATCATTAGAGCATTTGTTCAAATGGAGCCTCTTCATGCTCCAGTTCCCCTTAACTTTTATAAAGAACACCAAATGTGGCAAACACACTATGATGAATGGTGACCCAAATGTGCAATTAATACATTCACAGTCCCATG